ATCCGCGTTCTGCCGTATTCTCAGGTAGGCGGAGATGGGATGAGGACCTCTATCCGCGTTCTGCCGTATTCTCAGGTAGGCGGAGATGGGATGAGGACCTCTATCCGCGTTCTGCCGTATTCTCAGGTAGGCGGAGATGGGACGAGGACCTCCATCCGCGTTCTGCCGTATTCTCAGGTAGCTGGAGATGGGATGAGGACCTCTATCCGCGTTCTGCCGTATTCTCAGGTAGGCGGAGATGGGACGAGGACCTCTATCCGCGTTCTGCTGTACTCTCAGGTAGGCGGAGATGGGATGAGGACCTCTATCCGCGTTCTGCCGTATTCTCAGGTAGCTGGAGATGGGATGAGGACCTCTGTCCGCGTTCTGCCGTATTCTCAGGTAGGCGGAGATGGGATGAGGACCTCCGTCCACGTTCTGCCGTATTCTCAGGTAGCTGGAGATGGGACGAGGACCTCTATCCGAGTTCTGCCAAATTCTCAGGTAGGCGGAGATGGGACGAGGACCTCTATCTGCGTTCTGCTGTATTCTCAGGTAGCTGGAGATGGGATGAGGACCTCCGTCCACGTTCTGCCGTATTCTCAGGTAGCTGGAGATGGGACGAGGACCTCTATCCGAGTTCTGCCAAATTCTCAGGTAGGCGGAGATGGGACGAGGACCTCCATCCGCGTTCTGCCGTATTCTCAGGTAGGCGGAGATGGGACGAGGACCTCTATCCACGTTCTGCCGTATTCTCAGGTAGGTGGAGATGGGACGAGGACCTCTATCCACGTTCTGCCGTATTCTCAGGTAGGCGGAGATGGGACGAGGACCTCTATCCGCGTTCTGCCGTATTCTCAGGTAGGCGGAGATGGGACGAGGACCTCTATCCGCGTTCTGCCGTATTCTCAGGTAGGCGGAGATGGGACGAGGACCTCCATCCGCATTCTGCCGTATTCTCAGGTAGCTGGAGATGGGACGAGGACCTCTATCCGCGTTCTGCCGTATTCTCAGGTAGCTGGAGATGGGATGAGGACCTCTATCCGCGTTCTGCTGTACTCTCAGGTAGGCGGAGATTGGACGAGGACCTCTATCCGCATTCTGCCGTATTCTCAGGTAGGCGGAGATGGGATGAGGACCTCTATCCGTGTTCTGCCGTATTCTCAGGTAGGCGGAGATGGGATGAGGACCTCTATCCGCGTTCTGCCGTACTCTCAGGTAGGCGGAGATGGGATGAGGACCTCTATCCACATTCTGCCGTATTCTCAGGTAGCTGGAGATGGGATGAGGACCTCTATCCGCATTCTGCCGTATTCTCAGGTAGGCGGAGATGGGATGAGGACCTCTATCCGCATTCTGCCGTATTCTCAGGTAGGCGGAGATATGACGAGGACCTCTATCCGCGTTCTGCCGTATTCTCAGGTAGGCGGAGATGGGATGAGGACCTCCGTCCGCGTTCTGCCGTATTCTCAGGTAGGCGGAGATGGGACGAGGACCTCCATCCGTGTTCTGCCGTATTCTCAGGTAGGCGGAGATGGGATGAGGACCTCCGTCCGCGTTCTGCCGTATTTCAATGATTTGGCGTGGTATCTGGTTAGGTGACGGGTCCTCTGATAACAAAGGGTGGGGTGGGGTGGGGTGCTCTGATAGTGAGGGGTGGGGTGCTCTGATAACGAGGGGTGGGGTGCTCTGATAACGAGGGGTGGGGTCCTCTGATAAGGAGGGGTTGGGGTTGGGGTGCTCTGATAACGAGGGGTGGGGGTCCTCTGATAACGAGGGGGGTGTGGGGGTTGGGGTCCTCTGATAAGGAGGGGTGGGGTCCTCTGATAACGAGGGGTGGGGGTCCTCTGATAACGAGGGGTGGGGATTGGGGTCCTCTGATAAGGAGGGGTGGTGGTCCTCTGATAACGAGGGGTGGGGGTTGGGGTCCTCTGATAAGGAGGGGTGGGGGTTGGGGTCCTCTGATAAGGAGGGGTGGGGTCCTCTGATAAGGAGGGGTGGGGGTCCTCTGATAACGAGGGGTGGGGGTTGGGTCCTCTGATAACGAGGGGTGGGGGGTTGGGGGTCCTCTGATAACGAGGGGTGGGGTGCTCTGATAGCGAGGGGTGGAGGTTGGGGTGGGGTCCTCTGATAAGGAGGGGTGGGGGTTGGGGTGGGGTCCTCAGATAACGAGGGGTGGGGTGCTCTGATAAATGAGGGGTGGGGGTTGGGGTCCTCTGATAAGGAGGGGTGGGGGTCCTCTGATAACGAGGGGTGGGTGCTCTGATAAGAAGGGGTGGGGGTTGGGGTGGGGTCCTCTGATAAGGAGGGGTTGGGGTCCTCTGATAAGGAGGGGTGGGGGTTGGGGTCCTCTGATAACGAGGGGTGGGGTGCTCTGATAGCGAGGGGGTGGAGGTTGGGGTGGGGTCCTCTGATAAGGAGGGGTGGGGGTTGGGGTGGGGTCCTCAGATAACGAGGGGTGGGGGTTGGGGTCCTCTGATAACGAGGGGTGGGGTGCTCTGATAAGGAGGGGTGGGGGTTGGGGTGGGGTCCTCTGATAAGGAGGGGTGGGGGTTGGGGTCCTCTGATAACGAGGGGTGGGGTGCTCTGATAGCGAGGGGTGGAGGTTGGGGTGGGGTCCTCTGATAAGGAGGGGTGGGGGTTGGGGGTGGGGTCCTCAGATAACGAGGGGTGGGGGTTGGGGTCCTCTGATAACGAGGGGTGGGGTCCTCTGATAAGGAGGGGTGGGGGTTGGGGTGGGGTCCTCAGATAACGAGGGGTGGGGTCCTCAGATAACGAGGGGTGGGGGTTGGGGTCCTCAGATAACGAGGGGTGGGGTGCTCTGATAATGAGGGTTGGGGGTTGGGGTCCTCTGATAACGAGGGGTGGGGTGCTCTGATAAAGGAGGGGTGGGGGTCCTCTGATAAGGAGGGGTGGGGGTTGGGGTGGGGTCCTCAGATAACGAGGGGTGGGGGTTGGGGTGGGGTCCTCAGATAACGAGGGGTGGGGGTTGGGGTCCTCAGATAACGAGGGGTGGGGGGGTGGGGTCCTCAGATAACGAGGGGCGGGGTCCTCAGATAACGAGGGGCGGGGTCCTCTGATAACGAGGGGCGGGGTCCTCAGATAACGAGGGGCGGGGTCCTCTGATAACGAGGGGCGGGGTCCTCAGATAACGAGGGGCGGGGTCCTCAGATAACGAGGGGCGGGGTCCTCAGATAACGAGGGGTGGGGGTTGGGGTCCTCAGATAACGAGGGGTGGGGTCCTCAGATAACGAGGGGTGGAGTTTGGGGTCCTCAGATAACGAGGGGCGGGGTCCTCTGATAACGAGGGGCGGGGTCCTCAGATAACGAGGGGCGGGGTCTTCAGATAACGAGGGGCGGGGTCCTCAGATAACGAGGGGTGGGGTCCTCAGATAACGAGGGGCGGGGTCTTCAGATAACGAGGGGCGGGGTCCTCAGATAACGAGGGGTGGGGGTTGGGGTCCTCAGATAACGAGGGGTGGGGTCCTCTGATAACGAGGGGTGGGGGTTGGGGTCCTCTGATAACGAGGGGTGGGGGTTGGGGTCCTCTGATAACGAGGGGTGGGGGTTGGGGTCCTCAGATAACGAGGGGTGGGGGTTGGGGTCCTCTGATAACGAGGGGTGGGGTCCTCAGATAACGAGGGGTGGGGGTTGGGGTCCTCAGATAACGAGGGGTGGGGTCCTCTGATAACGAGGGGTGGGGGTTGGGGTCCTCTGATAACGAGGGGTGGGGGTTGGGGTCCTCTGATAACGAGGGGTGGGGGTTGGGGTCCTCTGATAACGAGGGGTGGGGTCCTCTGATAACGAGGGGTGGGGGTTGGGGTCCTCTGATAACGAGGGGTGGGGTCCTCTGATAACGAGGGGCGGGGTCCTCAGATAACGAGGGGTGGGGGTTGGGGTCCTCTGATAACGAGGGGTGGGGTCCTCTGATAACGAGGGGCGGGGTCCTCAGATAACGAGGGGCGGGGTCCTCAGATAACGAGGGGCGGGGTCCTCAGATAACGAGGGGTGGGGTGCTCTGACTTCCTTCCCGTTTGTCTCCGGGGGCAGAGTAGCATTCTGGAGATGTACGGTACGGGAAGCGCCAATGAGGATGCAGGGGCCCCCTTTGGGCGGGACCCCATCCTGTTACTGGGAGCGTGGTGGGGGAAGGGACACTGGATTGGTGGAGGGGCGGAGTCTCAGCATGTCCCAATAATGCAGCACATACATCAGTACAGTGTGCGGGACTCGGGACGGAACATATTAGGGAGGAGCTCTGATCTGTGAGTCGGGGGATTCCTCACATGACCACAGTCTCCGCCCAGTCCTGGGCAGTGGTGAGCACACCCTGGGGTGTACAGGTGCAGTCAGACTCCGCCCACAACCTATTGAAATGCGTAGAATCGCAGATAAACCGCAATCCAGGGAAATGCAGCTTTTTAGCCACACCCATTGCAGGGCCCCCGAGGTTCAGCTCCACCCCCTGGCTGTGGTATTCGGGGATCCCGTGTTCATAGCAACCAACCGCTTCCCATCACTCCGCACAACAAGCTGGTTGCTATGGGTAACGCACTGCTCAATACTCTGGAGGGATCCAGGCGACCAATCAGGACACAGAGATTTCTGGGCACATTGAGCCATCGTCTGCCAGTGTGTGACGTCATGCTCGGTGCCCCGCCCCACCCGGCCCCTCTCTCACCTGCACTCCGGGACACAGCTCTCCGAATCCTGTGAGGATTTCATGTCAGCCAACCAGAGAGCGGCTCTGTGGACACGTGACGTGGAGCGGCCAATCACAGAGAGGATCTGTCCTCCCTCAGCGCTGGTTCGTCTTTCCCCACGAGCTGCCTGGAGGCGGGTCTTGTTCCTGCGGCCAATCACCGGGCAGCTCTCTGTGACGGTCAGGCCAGCCGTCCAATCAGAAGTCTCCCGTCCGCCGCGGACAGGTATATGAGGCGGGCGGCCCGGGCCGGTCTCGGCTCTCGGTAACAGGTGGGGGGAGGGGCGGAGCAGAACAGACGCATCCCGACCGAGCGACGATGACCGAGGTGGAGCCCCGGGGCCCCGAACTGGCCCTACAGCCTCAGGAGCCCGAGAAGGTCACCACCGCCGGACCCAACCGGAACCAGGCCAGCAAGAGAGTGCTGGGTGAGTATGGACCGGTCCGGTATATGGGACCAGTGTGTGTATAGAGGACCGGTATATGGGACCAGTGTGTGTGTATAGAGGTCCGGTATATGGGACCAGTGTGTGTATATGGGACCAGTGTGTGTATAGAGGACCGGTATATGGGACCAGTGTGTGTATAGAGGACCGGTATATGGGACCAGTGTGTGTATAGAGGACCCAGGTATATGGGACCAGTGTGTGTGTATAGAGGACCGGTATATGGGACCAGTGTGTGTGTGTATAGAGGACCGGTGTGTATATATATGGGACCAGTGTGTGTATAGAGGACCGGTATATGGGACCAGTGTGTGTATAGAGGACCGGTATATGGGACCAGTGTGTGTATAGAGGACCGGTATATGGGACCAGTGTGTGTATAGAGGACCGGTATATGGGACCAGTGTGTGTATAGAGGACCGGTATATGGGACCAGTGTGTGTATAGAGGACCGGTATATGGGACCAGTGTGTGTATAGAGGACCGGTATATGGGACCAGTGTGTGTATAGAGGACCGGTATATGGGACCAGTGTGTGTGTATAGAGGACCGGTATATGGGACCAGTGTGTGTATAGAGGACCGGTATATGGGACCAGTGTGTGTGTATAGAGAGGGGACCGGTATATATATGGGACCAGTGTGTGTATAGAGGTCCGGTATATGGGACCAGTGTGTGTGTATAGAGGACCGGTATATGGGACCAGTGTGTGTGTATAGAGGTCCGGTATATGGGACCAGTGTGTGTATAGAGGGGTATATGGGACCAGTGTGTGTGTATAGAGGTCCGGTATATGGGACCAGTGTGTGTGTATAGAGGTCCGGTATATGGGACCAGTGTGTGTGTATAGAGGTCCGGTATATGGGACCAGTGTGTGAGACCGGTTATGTATAGAGGTCCGGTATATGGGACCAGTGTGTGTATAGAGGACCGGTATATGGGACCAGTGTGTGTGTATAGAGGTCCGGTATATATGGGACCAGTGTGTGTATAGAGGACCGGTATGTGGGACCAGTGTGTGTGTATAGAGGACCGGTATGTGGGACCAGTGTGTGTGTATGTGGGAGAGGGACCGGTATGTGGGACCAGTGTGTGTATAGAGGACCGGTATGTGGGACCAGTGTGTGTATAGAGGGGACCGGTATGTGGGACCAGTGTGTGTATAGAGGACCGGTATGTGGGACCAGTGTGTGTATATAGAGGACCGGTATGTGGGACCAGTGTGTGTATAGAGGACCGGTATGTGGGACCAGTGTGTGTATAGAGGACCGGTATGTGGGACCAGTGTGTGTATAGAGGACCGGTATGTGGGACCAGTGTGTGTATAGAGGACCGGTATGTGGGACCAGTGTGTGTGTATAGAGGACCGGTATGTGGACCAGTGTGTGTGTATAGAGGACCGGTATGTGGGACCAGTGTGTGTATAGAGGACCGGTATGTGGGACCAGTGTGTGTATAGAGGACCGGTATGTGGGACCAGTGTGTGTGTATAGAGGACCGGTATGTGGGACCAGTGTGTGTATAGAGGACCGGTATGTGGGACCAGTGTGTGTATAGAGGACCGGTATGTGGGACCAGTGTGTGTATAGAGGACCGGTATGTGGGACCAGTGTGTGTGTATAGAGGACCGGTATGTGGGACCAGTGTGTGTGTATAGAGGACCGGTATGTGGGACCAGTGTGTGTATAGAGGACCGGTATGTGGGACCAGTGTGTGTGTATAGAGGACCGGTATGTGGGACCAGTGTGTGTATAGAGGACCGGTATGTGGGACCAGTGTGTGTGTATAGAGGACCGGTATGTGGGACCAGTGTGTGTATAGAGGGACCGGTATGTGGGACCAGTGTGTGTGTATAGAGGACCGGTATGTGGGACCAGTGTGTGTATAGAGGACCGGTATGTGGGACCAGTGTGTGTGTATAGAGGACCGGTATGTGGGACCAGTGTGTGTGTATAGAGGACCGGTATGTGGGACCAGTGTGTGTGTATAGAGGACCGGTATGTGGGACCAGTGTGTGTATAGAGGACCGGTATGTGGACCAGTGTGTGTGTATAGAGGACCGGTAGTGTGTGTATAGAGGACCGGTATGTGGGACCAGTGTGTGTATAGAGGACCGGTATGTGGGACCAGTGTGTGTGTATAGAGGACCGGTATGTATAGAGGACCGTATGTGGGACCAGTGTGTGTGTATAGGTAGGACCAGGTGTGTGGGACCGGTATGTGGGACCAGTGTGTGTGTATAGAGGACCGGTATGTGGGACCAGTGTGTGTATAGAGGACCGGTATGTGGGACCAGTGTGTGTATAGAGGACCGGTATGTGGGACCAGTGTGTGTATAGAGGACCGGTAGGGGACCAGTGTGTGTGTATAGAGGACCGGTATGTATAGGGACCAGTGTGTGTATAGAGGTGTATGTGTGGGACCAGTGTGTGTATAGAGGACCGGTATGTGGGACCAGTGTGTGTGTATAGAGGACCGGTATATGGGGACCAGTGTGTGTGTATAGAGGACCGGTATATGGGACCAGTGTGTGTGTATAGAGGACCGGTGTGTATAGACCAGTGTGTGTGTGGTATAGTGTGTGGGACCAGTGTGTGTGTATAGAGGACCGTATGTGGGGACCAGTGTGTGTATAGAGGACCGGTATATGGGACCAGTGTGTGTGTATAGAGGACCGGTATGTGGGACCAGTGTGTGTGTATAGAGGACCGGTATATGGGACCAGTGTGTGTATAGAGGACCGGTATATGGGGCCAGTGTGTGTGTATAGAGGACCGGTATATGGGACCCGGTGTGTGTGTGTGTATAGAGGACCGGTATGTGGGGACCAGTGTGTGTATAGAGGTCCGGTATATGGGGACCAGTGTGTGTATAGAGGAGGTCCAGGTGTGTGTGTATAGGGACCAGTGTGTGTGTATAGAGGTCCGGTGTGTGTGTGTATAGAGGAGTATATGGGACCAGTGTGTGTGTATAGAGGACCGGTATATGGGACCAGTGTGTGTGTATAGAGGTCCGGTATATGGGACCAGTGTGTGTGTGTATATAGAGGTCCGGTATATGGGACCAGTGTGTGTGTATAGAGGTCCGGTATATGGGACCAGTGTGTGTGTATAGAGGTCCGGTATATGGGACCAGTGTGTGTGTGTATAGAGGGCCGGTATGGTATATGGGACCAGTGTGTGTATATCTATATGGGACCAGTGTGTGTGTACTGGGTATATGGGACCACTGTGTGTGTATAGAGGACCGGTCCGATATATGGTATGTACTGGTGTGTGTGTGATATATGGGACCGGTGTGATATATGGGACCGGGTGGGGGGGTGTGATATATGGGACCACGGTGTGATATATGGGACCGGTGTGGGGGGTGTGATATATGGGACCGGTGTGATATAATGGACTTTGTGTGTGTGTGTGTATATGGGACCGGTCTGTATGTGACATGGGTGACAGTGTCATGGTGGATGTAGCTCAGTCCTAGGCACTCGGTCAGAGGGGGTCACCAATCTGCCCCTGAAGGGGCGGGGCTTCCTCAGGAGGTGACACCCGGGTGATGAGACGTCACCTCTATGTACTCGGCCATCCTCCTGAAGCTGAAAATGGGAACGCAGACATTGCGGCTTCCTGTCACCAGGGGCCCCGATCTGTGTGGGGAGCCAAGTGTCTCCGCCCATCTCGGGGGTGTTCCCTCCCTCATAACAGCTACAATATGAGTTGCAGAGAGATGAGACTACTCCCCTCTGATTGGACGCTCTGTGGGTCACACCGACATATAAAACCATATTTGTGGCTCAGGTAGAAGGCAGGAAAATGCATGGAATGGTTAGGTGGTGCTGGATGGGGACAGTCTGATGGTGGTTGGTACTGTCGGGATCGGACCGATGTGCTGGTGTCGGAAATCCAATCCCTGACTTGGTGCTTCAAGCTGGTCTTGGTCCGATTGACCTTGGGCAGGTCAGCACCCAGAACATCCTGTGGGCGGGTACAGGAACACCCCCCAGGGTCAACTGGCCGAGGACTAATGTCCCGCCTACGTCCATATCCCCATAAATGGAGTACCCGGACATTGTGATCTGTATGGAGCCGGTTGGTCGGCCAACAGATTGCCGACTCCCTGACTGGCTCCAGTCGCAGGACAGATCTCGGGAAACGTTTTATTCCCTTTTATTGTATAGTGACGTCATCGTGTCTTCTTGTATTTCTGGAACTTTCTATACTTTGTACATATTTTATGCCCCGCCCACTTTTGGGAAATTAAATCTTAAAATAATTAGTGACTTCTGTGTATTTATGCTCGGGGTCATATCTCTGGGGGGATGGGATTGGAGGGGGGTGGGATTGGGGGGATGGGATTGTATTTTAGTGCCTTGAACCACTTGCCGCCCAGCCATTGTACATATACGGCGCAGGGCGGCACTCGCAGGCAAAACCATGTTTTAAAATGTGTGTTTTGTAAAGAAATAGGGGGCGTGCACGAGGCGTGGCGCCGCCCTATTTGTCCCGCCGATCACCGCCGCAGATGTCAGTCGCCGGGTCACAGCCGCTCCTTAGCCGCTATCTCTCAGGGATCGGCAAACAGTGACAGAGAGCACAGCTGCAGTAGCCGTACTGTATGTCACTTCCCTGTCAGCTCCAGGATGAGATGATCGAGAAAGAAGAGTTTCTCTCTGGATCAGTGGTGTCCCGTGCAGCACACCCCCCGCCCCCTAGTAAGACACTCCCCCCCCCTCACACTCCCCCTGCCCCCTAGTAAGACACTCCCCCTCACACTCCCCCTGCCCCCTAGTAAAATACTCCCCCTGCCCCCTAGTAAGACACGCCCCCTAGTAAAACACTCCCCCTCACACCCCTCTGCCCCCTAGTAAAACACTCCCCCTCACACCCTCTGCCCCCTAGTAAAACACTCCCCCTCACACCCTCTGCCCCCTAGTAAAACACTCCCCCTCACACCCCCCGCCCCCTAGTAAAACACTCCCCCTC